AGCTTGCACTCATGTTTGCTGTGGAGTCGGATGGCTTGATCACTCCAGCACTGCATTTCCAACAAAAAAGCCTTTTTTATAACGAATTTTTAATTTAAGAAAGATTCCAAGAACAGCAATGCCCCACAGAAAGGACAGAAAAATCCCTGACTGACAAGCTGAAGTGCCCCAGCTTCCAAACCCATGCAAGAAAGAGGACTGAATTACTTCTGGGGAGCTGAACAGTCACTGCCTATTTTATCTGTCTGCTAAAAGCTCTTTGTTTTGGGGGACTGCACACTCTAAATGTGCACTCTAGTCCATCCAGAGCAGCAGTTCCTAGAACACAGTAGCCTATTTCTCTCTCCAGATACAGACATTCTCTGAACAGCTGAAGAGCTCAAATACAGAAGCAGACTCAGGAATACAGAACAGGACTATAACCTTGGCTCTTTTCTTTTCCCATCTACAGCATATTTGAAACTACCTCTTAAAAACACACCTATTACTAGGCCTTGCTCCTTGGAAATGATGTTACCTCATGAGCATAGAGAACATAACCACAGCCCTCAAAAGCCAAAATTAGCTTCCCTCCCACAACTATATCCCAATCTTTCCTCAGCAATATTATTGCAACCTCACTGTCACTCTAAGTTTTTTCTCCTCTCCAATTCCATCAATCCTCAAAAAAAAACCCAAAAACCCCCTAACTAAAAAAAACAACAAAAAACAAAACAAAACAAAAAAACCAAACCCAAAACCACAACCAAACCAGCCTTCACTTCTCTTTATTCAGAAATAACACTTTTCATGCATTCACAACAAACTACCATTGCTGAAGCAACATCAGTCCCCATTGCTGCTCTGCAATTCTGAAACCTGTCAAAAGTAAGTATCAAACTACATTTGACAGACATAACACACCTAGAACCAAACACATTCCCGAACCAGGGAAATGTCCAATTTTGTTTCAATCTTTTAGCACACACAAGCCATGGACAAAAACTTATCTGTTCATCATCTTCAGTCTAAAACAGACACAGCCATGTTTGGCTTTAGGAGGAGACATGAAGCAAATCATAGATAATTAACAAAGTATCACAGAAAGATTAAGCATTAAGTATTAAGCATAAATAAAGTCAGTAATTAGCAATCGCAGCAGATATTCAGATGCTTCCTTCAGACACAATTTAAGCATGAAACAGTTAAAAAACTTGTCCACGATGAGCAGTAATCACTCAGGGTTAAAGCTTAGGGCATAAGTTCCTGGCTCCCAGCCTTGGACCTGGACTATCAGACTTTCACATATCTTTGAATTACACCTGAAAGAACATTGAGATAGAGCCGCTTGACTCTTCTCCTTCTGCTGAGCAATTAAACAAGTTGACTAAATTTGTTCTGAAGTACAAACTCACTCCATTAAGCAAGTGTGTAGTTTTCAGAGGCAGTTTAAACTCACAACTCTCAGCTGCTCCCAACTGCAGCTGCTATTATGCCACATTCTGAAAAACAGCAAAAGAGCATAACCAACAAAACTGCTGCTGAAAATCTTTGTAATCCTTTTCTATAATCATTCCCATAAAGGAAACTTCCACTAAGAAAACACCAGAGTATTTCTGGACAATAAAGTTTCACTTGTACCGAAACTGTGATGGCACAACAGAAAGGAATCTGTGCATTACAGACACTTTTGATAACCTGATCACTGAACTTATCACAAACAAGCACTCTGTATTCTCCACCCCAGAAGACCTGTCTATGAAACTATGAACATCCAAAACTAAGTAGGGAGGAAAGCTGTTTCAGAAAGAGGGAGCACAAACTACAACAACCTTTGTCCTCATAAAACAGACTGATAAATCACTGGAAGGCAAACTTCTGCCATCTATTAAAATTAAGGAGCAGAGTTATAATGAAGCTGACACCGAGATTTCAATTTATAACCCGATTTCTGTGCTTAACTGTGATCTGACACAGCCAGGCCACAGCTTACAAGGAAGGGTAAATTCCATACATACCAAGGGAAGAGAGGCTACTTCTGCTCCTAACATTCACATTTTCAGCACAAAAGCTTTGCCAAAGCGGTGACCCAGGCAGGCCCCACATACAAGTTCAGTGCCATCTTTCCCCAGGCTTTAGTGACACAATTCCCCCCCTTCCCTTACATGCCACATCCATCCATCACACAGTGGTTGGAAAGGCAGAAAATTAAAAACTGTGTCTCAGAGTTCATGTTTCAGCCACCAAAGCCACCAAATATCGACTTCGTAACAATCAGCCAGCCTAGTCCAAGTAGCTAAAGAATTATAGGTTATACATGTGATGGGGAGGCTGGAGGTCAGGTCTGACCTTAAATATACTGGAAGTTACATAATAGCATTCTTGACAGGCTTTTTAAAGTTGTTACAATTACTACTGTATTAAAAGTGTTACTGTCCAAAATGTAATTCTCCATGGGCTTATTTTATATACAAAAAACACTGTAGGGAGACCACTGGGTTCATATCCATTGATTAATGCAGTTAAATGATGTTTTCCCGGTTATCAATGTTTTATCTTAGCTCAAGACAGCTTTCCAATGTAAATATTGCAACACTAAGTTACCAACAGGAGGAAAACAGAAAGTAAAACTCCCAATTCTTCACATTTGTTTTCAGTGAAATTTCAGCATTCCACAACCAACTGCTATTTAGATTTTGAGCTCCGCAGCCATTCAAGAAACAGATCTTCACAGCCTTGTACTCCTTGTACACAAATTGGTACTGTGCTCACCACAGGCATGGCTGGAGTGCAGACCTGTTCTCTGGCAGACCACAGTGGTTAGAGAGTCATTAAAGCTTGAGACAGTAAGATTTCCTTGAGTTCTCACCGCGGGCCTGCCCCAAAAAAAGCAGAAGGAAAGGCAGGGAATAAAAAAGATCCTCAGACTGCACTTGGACCCACTGTCAGTTTGTCACTGGGTATTCCAAAAGACCAGAGCTGCTGTTCCAGTTGATGCCAAGAACCACACAAGGCTCCATGTCTGTGTGAAGTGAACCTTAAAGCCAGAAATATTGCTAGGAAATGGAAAAATGCAACCATCCTGATACATAACGCTTCCAACAGAATTACAGTGAAACACTGTGATGTATAACAAGAAATCAATATAAACAACTGCTTTCACCAACTTCCAGTACGGATTGTGGGAGCCAAATACATGGGAATAGGAGAGAATTTCAGCTCAACACATTAATTACAACCAAGCATAACATCAATAATACTTGGGATCTCTCCCCAGGGAGCTCAGTTTCACAACATCTTGAAGTATAATACACTCTGGACCTCAAGACTCAGGATCCTAAGTCAGGTATAGCTGACAGTGAAACAAAATTTCATTCTTTGGGTCACAGAATCAGAAAGCTACACTGTCTATAAAACCCAAAAATGGACATTCTTACAATGTTTTGGAAACCAAGCTGCCTGGCTTGCTGAAACTGAAGCCAGTTAATTCCCTCAAAGGCTTCCCTGAAGTCCACCCCAGGATTCCAGCAGTGCTCAGTGCAGCTCCCAGCCTGGCAGAGGAGGCACAAGGCTGGCAAGGCACCTTTAGTAACACTAAGTGCAACACTTAGAACAGCTCACTCTGTCCTTCCTTCCTATTTCCTCACTTCTGCATTTCCAGATCCCTGTAAAGGCTATTTTTCTATACCTATATACAAGTTCATTGCTACTAGATACAAGCATATCAACATCTATTTTAATGAAAAATTATTCGCAAGCACAACTTCACCACAACCACAACTTTTTCAAAACTTGCACTTATTAAGGATTTAGTTTGATATGTAAATGAAACAAAGGTTACAGAATTTTAAATCTGTCAGGGAAAAAAATTATACCACACTTAACAGCACTTTTGAGTTCAAGTTTTAAAATCTACTTCCTGAGGAATTTAAAATTAAACTTGAAATTGTTACAGCTTTTTCATTTCCAAAAGACATATTTCAACTTGCAAACAACAGAAGCCTCAGTGCATTGTTTGCCACATGCTGCAGCTAATAAATAACAACAACTCAGTTATGTTTATACTGATCTTTTCTTTTGGCCTTTGGAAGCTAATCTGAACCACATGTCAAGCAGGGAAATAATGGAAACTGTAGTTACTGCTTTTCTAAATATAACATTAATCTCACTTGTATGTCAGAGCATTCAAGATATGCAAGAAAAAGAAAAAAAAACCCCAGGAATTACATAAGTGACAAGGCCAACTGCTAGCAAAAGAAAACTTTTAACTCATGATCTTAAAGGCAGCTTTGTGCAAACAGGACTTTATGGCAACAGAAATTCCTAAGTCAGGGGACCTTTCCTTGAGAACAATCACAGAAGAGACTCTGCTCTCCAGCACAAAGCACCATTTCTCCAATGATCCAAAATCCAAGGAAAAGAAAACCAAAACAAACAGTGCAGTTTTTGCAGTGAAATTCAGAGGCAGCCATCTTGGTGTAACACAACACTTGTCACTGCCAGCTTGGAAAAGTTTCAGACAATTCCCAGTATTATTTCAAACCCAAACCTGCTCCTTACATACTAAGTAGGCACGCACAAATATTCATATTTCTTCTGCCTCTTGTTAATAGGAGCTAGAAAGATTGGGACAATTACTTCATCTAGTACTTAGATCTTCAAAGAATACAAATATTAATTCTAACAACACCTCCTTGTGGAATTTAAGTATCACATTCCCCATTTTGCAGGTTAAGAAAAAACACAAATCAAAAGCCAAAAAATCAGAAAAATCTTACTCTTAGAAAACAATTCCAGCAAAAAAAAAGTTAGGAAGCCTGAACTTTTTCACAAGAGTGCTGAATGCTACTTTCAAACCACAGTTTAAACCTGAATCTGGATATGGGAATGCACATGAAATGTGCATTTGCTTTGCTCAACATGCACTCAGCAGCACTGGGATATTTCACTGACTGCATCCACATCTCCCTACCTAAGGAATGGGTAAAAAGTTAGAAAACAGTAAAAAATATTACTCTTACCTTCTGCTACATCATCATCTACAGCGCCTTTCACCTGAGAAAAACACCACTGAATGTCATTTCCTCCTCCAGCTCCTAAAAAAATGAAAACAATTCAATAAAAACAAGCCCCCCCAAGAGCAGCAGCACAAGCACACAATGGTTCCAGATTGCACATTTCAGAGCCTGTGCACGCCCACTTCCTCAGCAGTGCTGAGGCACAATCACACACCACCCTCCCCACCTTTTTCCTTTGGATATTGTTCTTGTCAGCCTTCAATGCAGTGTTTGTCAAAAACAGGGAAGCACAAGCAGTGTAAAAGCTTCACTCACCCAAAGCTTACTGGACTAAGCAACATTATCTATGAATTTAAAATTCAAGTGCACGAACGGCTGTTTCACACAAAGCTTTTTCCTACTTGAGCACTCAGAACCCCCTAAACACATACACACACAAACAGCTTAAATATAAGCTATCACAGCTGTGCTTTTTTGGAAAATTTCAATCTCCCATCCAATACAAACCAACACAATTCATTTCCTCCTTTCACAAACCCACTTCACCGACCCTATGCACTCAAGGCTAAAGAAAAAGAATTTTACCACAATTTTAGAGTCTCTTCGCAGAAGTAATGAAAGCAATTATCAGCCTAAAAAAAAAAGCAGCAAATCCAAGCAGCAAAGCAAACAAGCAATCGGAGGGGGACAAGTTCTACTACCATAGAAAACGGATCGGAGAGAAAACTTCAGGAACATTACTGCCTCGGCTGAAGGCAGTGATTCATTTGAACCGTGCCACCAAAACACACACCAAAAATCACCACCCATTTCTTTTGCATTTCATTCTGAGCAAATCACTGCAGGGCTGAGGACATACAGGAAGAGCCAGAAATGGGCTTGCCTCGGTTGGTTGGTTTGTTTTTTTTTCCCTAAAAGCCACTGTCAAAATGGAACTTTTCCTCCACACAACTCAAACCGGCTGAGCAACAGATGGCATTTACACATTAATCCCGAGCTCTGGTAGGGCTTTGGAGATAACAAAGAATACAGGAGGAGACTCTTCCAAAGTTAAGGGAGTCAAAAAAAACTCAAAGAGAAGGAAATCAGAAGCCTGAAAATAATCTTTCCAGAAAAGATTAAGCGCCTCAGAATAAGAAGTCCTGGAATAGAGTACAGTTTGCATTTTTTGCTTGCTTTAAATTCTTCCCTGAAGGATTACATCCAGCTGCATAACCTGAGGAGGTGAAGGCAAGCAAGAGAACCGATTTATGCAGGAGATGGCAAAACACTTTCCCTCCCCCCACCATTCCCCCAAAATGCTACAAAACCCATTTTCTTCTCTTCAACTTCATTTGTCATTTAGCACCATAGCAGACTTAAAGGGAACAGCTTGGAGAGAATCACTGCTCCTGCTTCTTCGAGCTGAAGTCCTCTTTTTCCATACAATTTACTTGAACCAAGTTGGCACTTTTTTCCCCCCACGACTAAAACGGCAAGAGGAGGGTGGAGCATGTGCATATGGTGTAGGGGGGAAAGGCAAAGCACAAGCCTCACAAAGCCTCCCATGCTTTGCTCCTCCACATGCAAAGCACTGAAAAGACAATTCATGTGCAGAGGAGGGGGATGAATAAATTTCCAAATGAAGAAATTGCAAGGAAAAGTAAGAGGGAAGAGATCCGTTCTGCACACACACTCCCAAGCCTACCAACAGTACTTCGAGATGTGGAATGGGGAGCAAGCAGTGGAAAGAATGGGAAAGAAAACACAGCGAGACCTGTGCTGTTTAATTACGCCCTGTGCCAAATTTTACTGGCATTTGCAGATGCTCAGAGGCTGCTCCCTACAGAAGGGTGCGACTGCAATCTGGACACCGCCTGCACCTGGAACCTCTCCGTGCACGGCAGCGCTTCTGAGAAATAACCACAAGCACTGACCCCAAAGCCTCAAGGGGGAAACTCTCTACCAGAGCGTGTAGTGACAGGACAGGGGGAGAAAGGGTTCAAACTGAAAGAGTAGGCTGAGCTGGGATATTGCGAAGTAATTCTTCTCTTCCAGGGTGGGCAGGCCCTGGCACAGGTGCCCAGAGCAGCTGTGGCTGTCCCTGGATCCCTGGAAGTGTCTAAGGCCAGGCTGGACGGGCTTGGAGCAACCTGGGAGAGTGGAAGGTGTCCCTGCCCATACCAGGGTGTGGAACTGGATAGGTTTTAAGGTCCCTTCCCACCCAAATCATTCCATGATTCTACGAAAAGGCAGCAGACCCACCCTGCCTGCAAGCTCCTCAACTCCAAAACACACCACTTCCCGCTCCTCCTTGCTTCTTCCATGCTTTTTTTTTTTTTTCCCCCCCAGAGAACGGAGGGAAGGAGGGGTGGGTGGGAGCAAAGCACGAATTCCCACAAGAGAGGATAAAAAAACCACCCCACAACCAGCAAGGCGCAAGCGAGCCGGAACAGGAGAGGCGGCCGGGAGCCAGGGCGGCAGCGGGGAGAGCCCCCCGAGCCACGCTGGGGCAGGGGGGGCAGGCTGCCCTTACCTGCCATGTTGTGCTGGCGATAGCGGCCGCGGCGGGTCGGGCGGAGCGGGCGGCGCGGGCGGGGCGGGCGGCGCGGGG